CTCCTTTTCCCCGAATTTGAAGGATGGGTCGGGTGTGTCCTTCGTGGCCCACCATATCCCAGAATTCATAGCGCGGCCCAGCCAAACTCCAGTTTCCAACAATGGCGGCAGCTGCTTAGTTTTAATATTACTCTGATTAATCTTTCTGGGTCACAAAATAAACTTTAACATATTTTCTGGTGAGAATGCAGCTGTGTAAACATCAAATATCTGCTCAGTTTATCAAGATATCGCATATTTGCAAAAGTTTATTAAACTCCACCGAGACAGCGGTGACGCTGATCTGAAGGCTCGACCGTCACATTTCACAGCCGCTCACTTCCGGCCTACCCGACCTTCTGAGGACCCGGCCCACGTAGACCCCGAAGGCCGGGTCCTCAGGAGGATGCAGCCCATGAATTTGGACACACCATAGAGCAGGTGAGCAGGGCAGGAAGTCAACCACAGGAACAGCAGAGAGAATCATATCAGTTTTCAAAATAAAAGACCCAGGAGCAAAAACAGAAAGAGACTCAGTAGTTCAGAGGTCAAACCTACAGAAAGGATTTGTTGTTATGGAGCGTATCCCAGCAGTCCAAGCACAAACAGCAGGTACACCTGAGACAGGTTCAATCCACAGTCTCAACAAACAAAAGCAGTTTCCAGTGGATCTACTTTCTGCTAAATAGTCCCACCAGTGACAAACCCCAGTTTAAGCCCAGATTTCATCTCATTACTGCTGTTACTGGTTGCACAGCATTATTAGTGAGAGCTGTTGGTGCATCAGATCTCTGAAAGACGACTTCAGCTGTTCCCGTCCTGGTTGTCATGGGGAATAAGTCTCCAGAGCTCGACCTTCCTGAATAAATCCAGCGTGTTGAGTTGAATGTGAGTCATGCTCTGAAACGCTGATAACAGGAGAGGTCGGAGGAATTAATGCTCTAATTAACCCCGTTTCTGTGTTTAGACCAGTGTGTTGCAGAGAGCTGACTCTCTCTAAGCTGTCTCCTCGTCTTTATTCATCAGAACCAGAGAGCTGTGAAGGAAGCATAATCTGCATGATGAGCTGAGCGAGAGTGTGTCTCTGTCTTTAAGTGATATTTGATGTGAAGTGGATTCAAAACATTTATAGAGAGGCTCTTTTGATTCCCCTCTGACATCATCGAGCTCTATGAGAAGCTCCTCAGGAGGAGGCGGTTAAACATTTCCCTGCGGGGCTGTTTTCACATGTTGATGCTAATGAGGCTTTTTAATTGATGAGTTTATTTTCAGCAAAATATTAAAATTAGATAAAAGTTCCCCGGTGAAGGGAAAATAAAATCCGAGATATAAAACAGAAACATGAACGGCTCATCAGAGCAGGCCCTCCTCGAACCCCAAATATTTACCCCTCACTTAAACCTAACTGTTTAAGCTCCTCCCTCTCTAAGCCAACTTTCCTCTGATTGGCTGCTGCTCACAAACAACAAAACCTTCTGCTACTACAACCACGACCCAAAGTACTGCAGAAACTCACCGCTGGATCCACAGATTCAAGACAAAAAGATCATTTATTACATTTTACGCACACAAAGCTACGAGCATGCGTTTGGTCTTTCTCGAGTAACAACCCAGACTGTCAGCTGATTGGTTTTTGACTCCTTCGGAGCCCCCGGAGGCTTTGCCGTGTCTCACATTGTGCTGCAGTTCATTTAGATTCAGCTCCACCTCATTCAGTCTTCCTAAAATAAATTGCCTTCTTTTTAAGTGTACTGCAGACCTCGTTTTGGAGGAAGCAAATTCAAAGGCTGCTCCAAATGTTCTGATTATATCAGGAGTGCGTCGAAATGTAAAGTAACAGCTGTGAAACAAAACAAACACAGGCTCTATCGATCTGTCTCCACCCGTCCTCTCAAAGTGCACCTCCAACCAAATCAACACAAACAAAGTGCAGCGTGGCAGTAAGTTCAGCAGTAATAGTTCCTGAGACGTCTGAGTTTGAACAGTAAAAGGTGAAAGGTCGCCGTGTTAGGATCGTGGAGGCTACACATTTGGTTCACAGTCTACACCACACCTGGTGACTCATTACCTGGACTGTGTCCCGTAATTAAAAAAACAAAAAACAGATGGTGAGAAACAGCCAGCAGTTAGGACATCCAGGATCTGTGGGACGGGACGACCGAGCAAAAAGGACCTGAGTTTGAATAACCTGCAGGCTCGCTGTTATCAGACGAGGTGTAGCCGATTCGAGCTCGCGGACTTCACAGTGCACCTGCAGTGCAGTCTGATTATTAATGAACAGCTGTTAATTAGATCGTACCTGTGGGATCTCCGTAATGATGGAAACCAGTGTGTGACCGCGAGATGATCACACAGTAGGTGAGCCTCTGCGATCCAGGTGTTGTCCAAGTGTTTTTCAGAGGACGGGCTCGGAGATGTTCTGGGTTTGTTGTTCTGAGTCGGTGAGAGGAGACGGGGAGTCGTTTCAAATACACAATCAACACATCGACAGAAATAATGAGGACAACTGAGCTGCAGCTTTAACTCCATTAAAACACAAAACACAGCAGCTGGGCTGAGAGTCTTAACGATCGCTGTCACAGGAAGTGATTCACAGCAAGGCGGGACCACAGGAAGTCGACCACACTGAGCGACTTCAAGCAACGACCGCAGAAATTAGTGATCTGTACTGGGAGGATACAGTTGGTTGTGATATGACAGGGAGGTAAATTAATTAGATTGTTACCAAGCGACTGACAAATCGCTTCCTGTTTGGACGCCAGGGCTCGGAGTGATGGGCCAGTGGAGGATGGGGCGCACCCTTGTGGTGAGGCTGATGATTTTCCAGTCGATCGACGTTCCTACACTCAGGTTTGGGCCGGAGCGCTGGGTCGTGAGAGAGCAACAGCTTCTGTCCGTGGGGTGGCTCCGACACCTGGAGGAGAGCCTCCTTTGTGCTGCTGAGTGGATCAGGATGCTTCCCCTCGGAGGTTTTTCCAGCTGGGAGGAAAATTGCTGAACATGGAGACACAAAGCATCTTTGACACAAAGCTGATTATCAGACATTAATTTTTGGTGGTGGTGAGCATGAATACATAAATAAAGGAAAAGGAAAGGAAGTATGTTTCATGCCCTGAGGAAGCTGGGAGACGTCACCATGGCAACCATGAAAGAAAACCTGTAAAAAATGTTGCAAACGTAACTCAGTTCAGTTCAACTTTATAAAGTATTAGTAGTGTAAGGTAATGTGTATGTGACCAAGTGGTTGGCGGAGTTATACAACGAATTTCACCCCCAGGAAATATATATGTAAGAAAAATAGATAAAAACAAAGTAAAAGGCTGCACAGATTCAAGGATGCACACCGAGGCAGGTTGGCTTCAATATTAACAGCTTTATTTATAGTAAAAAAATAAAGTTGACAGTGTCTTAAAGTTATGGTAAAACAATCGTGGAACTGGGACTTACCAGCGGACCCAAAAGAAAATCACCACAGCACCCAGTGCTGTACAAAAGAAAGTGTGCAAACGACAATCAGACAACCTGGGAGCACTTGGCAAGAGTGGGAAGGAAAAACTCCCTGTTAATAATTTAACCCAGCCACGTATTTTAAATGAATGAAGAATTAAAAAGTGAAGGTCTGTGACAGCACCTCTAACCTCCAAATATTTTTGTTTTCTGAACGTGGAAAATATTAAATTATTAATATTTAAACTTGTGATTATTTCATGAAGTGTGTTGTACATCAGGCACAGGAAGTCCTCAGGGTCCTCCGGGGGAAGTGTTTCGTTTACGATTGTTGGACTCATCAGGACTCTTAGACTAATTATTTGTCTCTCTGTTTCTGTCTCCTACATTTAAAACTTTAACTTTTTTAAAAAACACTTTACATGATTCAGTCCATTTACTCCACTAACTGGAATATTCCTGCGTGAATCTGAGGACGTTTGTCATTAGAGGTTTGATGTCTGCAGTAATGATTTATCTTGGGCAGAATTTCTGTGTTGGGTTCAGAGAACGAGAAACTCCGAGCCAGGAAACAAGAAGAGCTCAAACTAATGAGAAAAATCTGAGACAGCACAGGACCGAAGACGGGACGGGAGCACCGAGACAGGACGCGCCGCCGCCGCCGCCGCTGGAGATACATCAAAGAACCCGAGGCTGTGCCAGAAGCAGCAGGCCGGAGAGGATGAGTCTGCAGAAAAACGAGAGCTAATTCATCACCTGAGCTGAAAGTGACAGCGGGAGGAAAAAGGCGACAGATGACGAGTTAAAACCCACCGCGAGGTCTGGATGGTCGGCGGGGAGCCCGCCGTGACTCGTGCTTCATTCCTGAGTAGTCTGGAGACAAAGATGTCTGCCCCCCGCTGAGCTCACGGACATAAATACAGAGCGTAACATCTTCAGACTCAGTCAGACTGAAAGAAACCTCTCTGGGTTTCAATATTTCAGTCAGGCACAGTTTAATTTCACCTGTTTGTTACAGGGTCAGGCGCTCGTTGAAGCGAGGCTCGTGTGAACACAACCTCTGCTGAACGCCCAGTTCGGTGTTTGTTTCGCCCACTTTCATGAGTTTATGCTCGCAGTTTAAAATGGAAGAAACTTGTTTTTTACACTAATCAGACGTTGTAGTGGTCTCCCACAGACCTCCGAGGGCTTCCTCCGACATCCAGCTGCAGAAGTTGGTGGTAGATCCTTGAAGTCGGGTGGTTCACGGGCAGATCCTTGGACTTCATCTGCTCATCCCCAAACGGTCACGGCAGACTGCTCCTCCTTGACCCTAGTTCAGCTGAAGGTTTCTTCCTGTTAAAAGGGAGTTTTTCCTTCCCACTGTCACCAAAGTGCTGCTCATAGGGGGTCATATGATTGTTGGGTTCTTCTCTGTATCTGTTATTGTAGGGTCTACCTTACAATATAAAGCACCTGGAGGCGACTGTTGTGATTTGGCGCTTGCTCTAAAGTGTCCCATGGACTTGTGATCTGCTGTGGGACCGTGAGGCCACCAACTCTGAGCTGTGTTTAGCTAAGTTAGCAGCTAATCCTGCTAAACAGTGTGCATCCACAGACTGAGAGCATGACAAAGACACACCTGTGGCTCAGTGACATCCAATCAAAATCCTAGAATTTCACTGCCTGCTATAGCTGGAGCCCAGCCTTATTGGACAGTTTGTTACTACAGTAACCTCACAGCAGACATATGATTGGTCATTAAAGATGCTCCAAAAAGCTCCAACAGCACAAACGCGGTCCAGAGGTCCAGTTCAGGTGAAGCTAGCAGACAGCTACACCTGTGTCTCCATCCACCTGTCAGTCAGAGGCCACGCCCCTAATAATGCAAACTTTAAACATGTGAGTTATACAAAACATGTTACTGTTGAAAAGTTTTAACAGGAGAGTCTATGGGGACTGACTCACTGCTGCCTCTGCTGGACATCAGAGGAACTGCAGCTCTGTTTCGTCTGTCTGTAGCTCAGGCCTCGGATTCGTATCACCATTAAAACAACATGAATCACAGCTGCTGTGCTCTGAGGTGGAAGCCAAGGGGCAGATTTCGGTGCTGAAATATTGCCCTCACAAACACTTTGACAACTCTCGACTCCTGATTGTGTTTTCTCGCACATTCGTGGCCGTGTGTGAAATGTAGGGAGTGAGACTTCCTTCACAGCCCACTCCTCCTGCTCCGAGGATTTCAGATCCTGACGTGTCTCTCACAGATTCCCGGGAGGTCACGCTGAGGCTGCTGATCCAGGATCAGCAGCAAAGACGAGTCAGTGCATCCTTTACAATCATTTAAAAGCAAAACCATCTATGAAGATGTGACAATAAACATGGATGTCACATTTTATATTACACTTTATTTACACATGAGGAGAACTGGCTCCTGTGGCGTCACAGACTCGGTGCAGATGTGTGTTTAGTTTTCCCGTTAGGACTCTGGAATCGTCCCCAGACATTCCTGATCCGGCCATCGGGCTGATGTCCACGTGTGTGATGTGTCCTCCTGAGTCTGTCTGCCGTGGTCTGAGGAGCAAACCCAAACAGAGTGATGTCACACACTTTAAGCTGGACTTTCA